ATATATATATATATATATATATATATATATATATATATATATATATATATATATATATATATATATATATAAGAAACTGTTATTTGTTATTGAGTGGTTTCAAAATCAAACTGTATGAAACGGATAACTTACTTCAGCTTTGCCATTCAAGACGGGTTCGCTCATCTTTCGTACAGGTGTTGGAGCGGTTACTGAGGCACTTACACGAGCAATATGTGGAGGAGTTTTTAGCTCTCGAGACATATCACGAACCTGATCACGTGATGCAGCACTTCTATCACGCCGCTGTTCAACTGCCACCCGTGCTGCTTCTTTCTCGCTTCGACGTTTCCGATCGTAATTGGCAAGATCAGCAAGATGCGGAGCAGCGGGATGGTTCGGTTGAGGCACTAGAGCACTCGCATGATGTGGTGATATACCACGCTGGAACTGAAAATTCTTTTGGAAAAAAAACCTCCAACCCAACAGAAATTTTCAAAATTACAAACTTTGAACAGGATAAGAAAAGAATTCAAACGTTCAATTTAGATCGAGATTAATTTCCTCAATTGGCTTACCGCTTGATGATGAGAAAGAGGTCGCTGTGATCGCCGGTTATGATCACCGTGACGTTGATGGCCCAAACCATTCAGCGCCAAGCGTGGATCCACCTGTTGTTGTCGTAATTTGACGTGCTCTCGAGAGTCATCGACGACACCGAATCCTGAGAATTCTCGACGATTTTTTTTTCTTTTTAAATAAAGCTAGTGGAAACACCTCGGTTGCTTAACATGCCCGAATTCGTAATTAAACTTTATAGCAAAATTTCAAAATTACTAGGACTGCGTTGAAATGCTTGCGAAGTGGATGGATGTTTTTGTTGATGCTGTGAAATATGATGATGCTGCCCAGATGGTAAAACAATAGGTCCAGCAAGAGCAGAACGTTGTCTGATCGGTTGTGACGGTGAATGCTCGAACATATTCTTATTATTTTCTTGCAAGCGCTGAAAACCTTTCCGCAGAGTGTTGTCCTGTGTTGACTGTACTACGCCAGCTAATTCTACAATAATTAGAAATTGAAGGATTAAAATGAATACACATGCCAATTTATTAAATGTTTTTAATTGAAAGAGACTAATTTCATATGTTTTCATTCCTAATCCACAAGTACTTCTTTACCAATTCACCACCGAATGCCAATATTTTTGAAATAAAGCAGTCCAAGTTTTCAGTTGCTGAATTTCGCTGAAATATTCATTTTAAAATATTATATTATTCTATCTGATAGTTCCAGGAAAAACTTGCTATCATCAACAAAAGAATCACGGTTTTTTTCTTTATTTAGCAAATACCAAACCAGTGATTCCATGATATGCACTATTCAATGGCTGATCAACAGAAGTGTAATTTAAACTCGACTGCTAAAATCTCCATTTTACGCATAAAAATAGCAATCCTAGTGTGCAAAATCCAATACTTGAATAACAAAGACAGTAAAATACCTGCAGCTACGTCAAGAGGTTTACCCATTTGTCCATGATTTTCGTCATCATCACTTCCCGAATATTCATATTCTGTTTCATCTGAACCACAAAAAAAGACATTTACAAAAGTATAAATAAAAGGAAATTTAAAAAAGGAAACTTCCACGAAGAGTTTTGAAAACAAAAACCGAGATCTGAATTATCGGATTTGAAATATTTTCTCATATACCTTTCTTAGTGGTAATCCTACGATGTCTATCTTGATGATCTTTGATTGCTATACGTGTCTGTCTTTCAGGTGGTTGTTCCCGAATAAATGGATGCCTCAAAAGTTGATCTGTGTAGGGGCGTTGATGGTAGTCTTTCACTAGCACTGTTTCGATGAAAGAATCGAATTTCTTCGACCTATAAAAAAGGACGAAAAATTCAGTATAAAACAGTGCAGAGACCAAATGAGACAGAATCTTCAGCTATATTTTCCTTCAATTATTATTTTTTTTTTCCATCCTATACTTTCGAGCTCGTTAAACTACGAAAAAAAAATCGTAAGAAAAGGATCTACCGCTGCCAAACAGCTTGCCTTACATGCATTAGATGTGAGTTTTCTGTATTTGCAATTTCAACTTTGAAATTAGCAAGAAGTTTTGCCTTAGCATTTTAGCTGCTTATTAAATCTTTTATTAAGGCACTTTGAAAGAAGTCTTAAGATTCTAATTTTTTGTTTGTTCGTTATAAGGTACGATGCATTCAGACCGAAAAAAAGCTAACTGGATTGGAAGTGATGTTAAGCTTAGAAATGGGAACCAGAAAAAATTTTGGAGTTTTTAATAATTATATGAATATAGTTTTCACTCAATCATCTTCAAGTATAACACTGGTCGCATATGTATTAATTTGTTAAAACCCAAACCATAATATAGGTCTGTACCTCGCTACAGTTACTGTTAAATTAATCCTTCAAATTTTCGATTTTAACGACTGCGAAACATAAGTGCCACCACATGAAATTCAGATTCATCTGTTATAGAATTACATATATTTTCTCAAAGAAAACATAAGAAATGCCGTCTATTCAAGTTATAAAATTTGAAAAAGTAGTATAAAATTTCCCTCAAATGTGAGCACGAAGAATAATACGCTTGAAGAATAATAATGGTTGAAGAAAATACATAAGAATAGAAGAGAACTAAGTTTAGATTTATAACGAATTGAAGCACACAAACTGTTGAACCATTTTTTGCCTCGTTTCAATCGTGGTGGTGCGTTCCGAGGAATAAGAAATAATGCTCTCATGGGATGCATATCAACTAGCGGTGGATGGCCTTCTGCCATTTCCAATGCTGTAATTCCTAATGACCATAGATCACTTCGAGAATCGTATGTTGCATCTGGGTTTTCATCGCAAGCTATTACTTCCGGTGCCATCCTGAAACACGAAAAGTTGAGATAAATGAGTTCTATGAATAGGAAAAAAAGAAAAAAAAAGAAAGGAAAATGAAGCCGCATATGTTAGTCACATTCTCTATTTATATTACTGATTAACTTTGATGTCTAACACAATTTCCCTGTTAAATGTTTTGAATAGTGTTATCGCATTATTTCCGGTTTTCGGAATATAAACTGTAGAATAGTAGCAAAGTGAGTAGTTTTGAATGGCAAAAATGAGCAAAAAATTCACACTGTCATTTTATCGAGATCAACATAGAGGTTTTGCAAATTTTATGCAATTCTTAATTTCTCAAGCCATCCACATCAAAGACTCGTTCATGATGACAGCCCAAATATAATAATAATATAACAGTATATCCAAAGGATAAAACAAGAATTATAAATATCACCAGCAATAAAAAATCAGCCACAATCCAGTGTCTTGAAAATATTGCAAAGCAAAGTCACGCACCAGTAAGGGGTTCCTATAAATGTGTTCCTGCGCCCAACTGTTCTGTCCAATTGAGCACTCACACCAAAATCAACCAGTTTAACTTCACCACTGTCAGTAAGTAGAACGTTTTGTCCCTTGATATCACGATGAATCACTTTATTTTGATGTAAATGATATAAACCCTGCAAAAAGTAAAACGAATTGATATGAGAAAAACGACTGAAGCTGAAGATCGCAGATTAATTAATTTCAAGATATAAAACTCTAACAACTGAAACGGAAGAACAGAGTGATATTAGCTTACCCTGAGAATTTCACGGCATATGTAAGCTATCCAGTCTTCTTTAAGTGAACTGCCTTTAGTACTTTTGACAAGATCTGTCACCGAACCACTACCACAGAATTCCATTACTAACCATAGCTGATCTAGTTTTCCCGTAGACGAAGGCAGTTTTTTGATAAAAGCTCCATAATAAGTAGCAATGTTGCGATGATGCGAATACTGAAATAAAAGAAAAGGATTTTATACAAATTAAAACACACTTCTCATACCTTACTATGGTATGCCAAGAGATCTTGAACAGAGTTGGCGTCGAAATGGTCTTTCAGAGAGTTCATTAGGTAAAATAATACTCGACATGTCAACTGCTTTACCATCGAAGGATGCGATGCATCCTACAAACAAATCATTATATGGAAAGTTGTAAAAATAAAGAATTTCAAAAGCAGTGCTTCACCAGGTTTAGGCATCACTAAAAAGGTGAGGAACATGTTACCTTTTTTAGCATGTTGATCTCCATCTTGATTTCTTCTTCCTCATCCTGAAAAGTCCTACTTTTTTGCGAATCATTTAACTGGAATAAAATATGCGCTCCGATTTATTAAAAAAGACCTAAGAAATTAAATTCCCGTGTAAGCAGTGAAGAGAACCTAGTCTTATATGCTACTTTTGTGATACTGAATTTTTAAGATAATCAGGAGTTTTGGAATACAACACATGTTCCTTCAGTTCTTGATTTCAAAATTATAAGTTATGCAAACCTCATTGATGTTCATGATTTTTATGGCGGCCAATTGTGAGGTTTTAACATGTCTTCCCTGAAAGCAAATCAAATTTGTTGAATAAGAAAATCCATTTTATTTTACACAGATATTTACCTATTTTTTATTTTTATAGAATTTACCAGAACAAACCAATAATGGTGAGGAACCCAGACTTTTAAAATGATTTTGTAAGAGGGAGTTTCCTTTATAGGTAAGCCTAATTACACAATATTACCTTGTAAACTTGACCGTATGTACCATTACCAACTACTTCGATTAATTCGAATATCCCAGCCGGATCCTGCAAAAACATGACAAAGTAGAGAATTTGAATGTTTCCATTTATAAATCGGTTTGAAAACAATTTGCTTTCAACGATTGAAAGACGCCACTAGGCTTTTTAAGCGGATGTAATGTTAGAGTGAACCATTTGGAAAACAACAACTGTTATGTATGGCCAGAAAAACAGATGACTCAGGCCTGAATATTAAAAATTTCCCTCAACAAGTGAGTCAGTTAACCACTTCATCACTGATTTATGAATCCATTAGAAACAGTCATTAATTCTTTTAAATATCCATTGCACACTAATCTAACTGCACATCACAAATGACCACGCTTATGAATGCCTCTTCAATAGGGTGATGTCACTTATCGGGCAAACTTCGATTATCGCAGATAAGATCAAATATTTCAGCTGATATTAATATAGTATTGGTTTATTTCAAAGCTATATCTGCATGAATATTTTAGAAATCACCACATTTCGATGACGAGTAATGTTTTTTCATTTTTTTAAACAGTGATTTTTTAAGTAAGTGTATCATCTAACGACAACTTTGCAAACTTGGAAATGAAAAATCATACAGAGGAAATTGTATTGCAGATAAAAGCTCCAAATGTTCTCCCGTTCACCAGTCCAGTCCCTGTCTGTTTATCTATCAACGCGGTGTCACTTCGTGTAATTCTCTTTCTGTTGGACGCGAAAAACCCTATTCTCTTTCGGTCAAATTTCAAAAGTCTTTAATGAAAATTTTCAAATTTCCACAATGAAAGCTGCGCTTGATTCACGCTGCAGAAGGTCGTCGAACCTCACCGTGCATATACAAGGAAGGGAAGACAAAGAGACAAATAAGTATACATAACACACAACAGATCAATCCTTTGCTCCTTACGTCTTCAGAATTAATCAATTTCATTTGTAAAATAATTTTCGAATGTACTGTAAAACTAGCCATTAATTTGATAAGGGAAAATTTTCAACATGAAACACAATATGGAATCACACTCCAAGAAGGAGTGTCCACATAGCATCATCTACTTCCAATTTTCACGATTTTTTGAAACAACTTTTGACAACCAATGAATAAGTAAGCTTTGACTGCAGTTGCTGAGTGCTTGCATCTTTAAGAGAGAATATTCCTTTCAAATACGAAGGGTGAATTGCACTGCTACTTTTCCTTGTCTATAAACTTGGTACCGAGTCACAACTTGTATATTAAGCGATGTTGAAGAGATACATGTCACTATCACCAATGTTTGCGAATATTCTAAGTTGAATGAAATACTTAGCACGTCATATCATAACCTTCTTCAAAAACTCCTACCTTAACGAACGTCATTCATCGTGATTTATTAACTAACAGTAAATCCACCTGTGAAAAGAATTTCAACCATTGCAAAATTGTGATCCGATGACTCACGCGATGCTACTACCCCTCAGGAACAAGAAATCACAAATGTCCATGTTGTATTGCCCCAGTAAAAGTAAAAATTTTTCAACGATCGATTGAATGATGAACTGATAATGAACCAAGAGAGGGATAAAGCAAAAATCATATGTACCTCCGGCTGAGGAATAAGAAACGAACTTAAAAAAACGAAAGAATTCCTTTCTCGTTTCTTCATCCCATCGATTAACCTCCTGTTACGAACAGCCATCACGCCAAAAATCCAACACTTCTATCAAAATTAAATGATCTAAAGTTCGCAACAGCACCATTTAAATAAGCGTTCTGGAGGGAGAATGAACGAAGGAAACAAGAAATAAAAGAATTTTATCAAGTAAGCTTTATCAAATATTTAGTCTAAGAGGCAAATATTTCATAACCAAAATTTTCCTAAAGAATTTTAGGTTTTTTTCTGTTTATTTTTTTTTTTTTGCTTTTTCTGAAAGTTTAATGACATAAACGACTATTTTTTGCATAATGCCCGGACAATGAGTTGTTGAAGAGTTCAAGACAAGCTAACTGAGCAGCACCAAAGTTAGACTTATAAATTAACAGATACGCTAAATTAATAAAAATTAATTTAAAAAACATGCTCTCACGCATCCAAAAACATATCTCTACTTCGTAAAAAAATCTTTCGCTTGTTATAATCTGGAAGTAAAAAAGAGATGAAATCAGACCAATACATAGAGAGCTCCCTTTTTTTAAAATTAAACATTCAAATCATGAAAAGACATAGTACCAAAACCGTAGAAGTAATGAAAAGTCATGTTTAATGATGCCATTCAAGATGATTACAAATCCTCGTTTCTCAAGTACTTCTTACCCGCTCCATTACCAGTAACATGTAGCAAAATATTACTTGTGTACGGATTCGCTCCCCTCAAATCACATTCCTTCAATTTTCCTGTTGATTAATGAACTGCTCTTTACAATTATTACCCTTTTGTATTATGTTTGTATGTATTTCATTACCACAGCATTGCTAATCGTGACACTAAACATTCAATTATTTCACCACATTTCGAAACTGGCTGTTGGACAGCAGTATTATGTTATGCATAATCATGCTACAGTATCATGAATCGAAGATAGCAAAATGGTTATCGACTTCCTTCCTGCAAGAAAATTTCACTTACCCTGAGAGAATTCAAATCAATATCATCGAGCGAGCTTGCAGACATCATCCAGACTGCGACTGGACAGAGCCGTTATCCCGAACGATATATTTCTATCCTTCACTTCTTCTATACACACAAATTAGCAGCACCCTACAATTACAGATCATGGCACAGCAGCAGCAATAGCACAAACAACATTATCATTGCTTCTAGTCAGTGATTACCTTTGTTAAATATACCAGTAATGGAGAACTGGCCCTAAATGTATGGAACATATATGATGTTTGGGTAAAACAATCCCTTCCCAAGCTTTTCTAAACAAACAAGCAGCTGCAATATAACATTGTCTTAATACTCAATTAGATCGATTCGTCACTGCTGAAAGTGATAGATAGAGAGTCAGCTAAAATCCTCCCAAATTTTACTTTCCTCAGAAATCCCTATGTATAATTCTTTAGTCTTTGGTTTTCACTGAGAATCATATCCTTAACAATAAATGATAATAATAATTAGGATGATAAAGACAATAGTGATAGTGGCAGTAATAATAATAACAGCAATATGTAATGCTTAATTAATTGCCAATTAACAATCAACGATGGCAAAAACAATCATTAGAACAGTATTATTATTATTATAATAACATCATTATTAATAATAATAATCATTACTATTATAACAGTATTATTATTGGTAACAATAATTATTATTAATTGTATTGAAAATTGATAATAATAATAAT